GGTTTTGTTTTCAAAATAGTAAGATCTCAACTAAACCAATATTCTAATCAGCCTATACCTCAACTGTCTGCCTCATGTTAGTCTGGAATGTGTAGTTTTGATAAGGGAGGCGAGTAAACTTCTTTGTCTACCTTCAGGTCTCTAGGTCATATTTTACCGTAGTTTTAGATTAACTATTTCAGAATGTTTAAGAGCAGAAAATACAGAAGTCTCCTAAAAATCAGGCTCAAAGGGTCAGATGAATGGTATCAGGTGTGCGTTTCCACATTTGTTTGCATTCTAAGTGTATGGCTCACACGCATATGTATGCTGGATATGTTGTCAGAAACATTAGTCTTGTGTATTTACGAAGAGCTTTTATAGATAGTTCATTTGAGCTTCTAAATCAGTGGTTTTCAAAGTAGGTTTCACATAACCTAGGGATGTGAAAAAGATGCTAAAACTCTGATTGATATTTGTTATCTCCTTTTAACATTCTCTATCAAGTATATGATAGCACAAGAGGACAGTACACTTATTTGTAAACATCCTTCTATTAGGGATAAGAGCACAAGATTTTGTATTGATAACTAGTGCAAGATCAAAAAGATGTGTCCATTCCCGCTAGAGTCTTAGTGTTTTCTCCAAGTGTGGCTTGAGAATTACCCACATTACCGATGCAGAGGCCAGGGCCTCACCTAGGACCTACAAAATCTGAATCTCTGAGAGGCGAGGCCACAGCATGGCTTTTTTATAAACAAGCACACTGAAATTTGAGAACATCTGCTTTCAACTTTGAGAGGTAGGAATGATCCCCATTTTACCGATGAAGAAACTGAGGCTCAGAAAAGTTAAGAAACTTAAAGTCAAGGTCATACAGCCAGCAAGAGGCACAGGCGGACCCCACCCCTGGTTATGGGATTAAAGAGGCATGTGTGTGAAGTGCCCGGTGAGTGCTGTGCAGTCTGAACCTCTGAAGACCTGGGAGTCAGGATGTAAGGCTGCGGGTGCTACTATAAAGGCAATCCCCACGTACTTCTCCCATCACCGGGAGCCAAGAGAACAGCGACATCTGAGTCTTACTACACAAACACACATCCTTCTCTCCCAGGATTTTAAAGATTGAGTTTCAGATGACTGAAAAATGTGGTCAGCCAAGTTCCCCACTGCCTGGCCTCAAACTTTGGTTTTCACACAGTTTTTGTCTCAATTTGGGATTAAGGTCCTCAGGGTAACATGGCTTCATTATAGAGACCAAACCTTCACCAGTTGCTCAATTTCTATCCTGTCCACCTTTCCACAGACCACCATAAAGCCTCACTGGTCAACTAGAGCAGGGCAGTCTGAGCGTGAAGAGCATGAAGAAATGTAATTACTTTTCTCCCAAATTCATAGACTTGTGCCTCCACAGCCCTATATTTATACCTTTATTACAACACAATCTCATAATTAGCATTCAGAATCTTAGTTAGCTCCACAACGTCTTCTCAACTATACCGCGAAGAGCTTTTATTCTTTAACAAATAATGTATTCATCCCCTTCTTGTGACATATACCATCCTAGACCTAGGCAAAAGGCACTTGTTTATTATAGTTGTTTTAGTGGGGAAAAAAATTGCTAATAGTTGACTCTGAGCAACTGACTTTAATGTGCAGGTAAAGAATCATTTGTAATTAGTGTATTTAACAGGGATGCCTAAATTTATTTTATTTATTTTTTTTGCTGAGGACAATTCACTCTGAGCTAACTTCTGTTGCCAATCTTCCTCTTTTTGCTTGAGGAAGATTGTCCCTGAGCTAACATCTGTGCCAATCCTCCTCTATTTTGTATGTGGGTTGCTGCCATAGCATGGCTGTTGACAAGTGGTGTAGGTCTGCTCCCAGGAACTGAACCTAGGCTGCCAAAGCGGAATGCGCCAAACTTAACCACCAGGTCATAGAGTCGGCCCATACAATGTTATTCTAAAGTGGCTGAGGGTGCTTCAAAAGTCAGTCTGTTTAGATATGTTGACTATAACCTGATACACTGGAGATATCTGGAAAGGTAATAAATAAAGGAGTAATTTATTTCTATCCATAAATTAATAGGGAAAGAATCTACCATAAAAAACAAAGGTCAGCTTCTAAACATCACCAATTCCAAAATAAAGGATTTTAAAATGAATGAGGTTTAATCTAGAGGAAAAAGAATCAAGAATTTCCACATTTTCATTGTAAAGCCTTGTGCAAACGGGAGTTCCCTTGGTAAAGAACAAAATCCAAGTCCAAGACAGGAGGCCATATTCCTGTGCCTGCACACAGATGACAAAACTAAGGACGTCAGCAGATCCTTGCTCGTGCACTTGCATTTGGCGTCTCCTCAGTTCTTCCTAGGGCCTCCTGCTTGGAGATACTGAGGGGAGAGTTAGGAAGAGAACAGAGAATCTTACCCTTTGGGTCAGAGGCAGAGTGAGGTAGAAAGAGGGACATGGCGAATGGCCAACGGTTGAGTATGGACAAATGGCCGTGTACCAAGAAACCCTGAATTCTCTTCACTCTTTTGGGGATCTGGTGTGACAGTTACAACCATTTGCTACTATCTGCCTTGGAAACTAGGGAGAAACATTTAATTTCGTATTTATGTGAGAGTTCAACTTCCCCCAGTAAAAAGTGAAATGTAACTTCTTAGCTCAAGAAACCTCCATGTAATATAGAAATAATCTTAAGTCAAAATCAAGATTTAACATGGTAAATATCCACATGATGCAATTTGCTAAGATGGTGAACTTAGCACCATCTGTCCACTCCTAATCACAGCCAGGGCCTTAATTCAGAACACCTCTGTGCTGTCAAATCATCCAGACTGTCTGAAAAGGCTCACCACTGTCAGCATCACCCTTCTGATAAGGGGTGGCACCGGGCTGCAGAAAGAAGACACCATATGGAGCAGGATGCTCAGACAGCTGCTAGACAACCTGGTGGATAAAGCTAAAATTTGGAGTTTCTTTGTAACCTGAAGATTCTGACTTTCCTCTGATGTCCTTTGGTGGAGCCTGGATATAGGATAAAGACAAAAGGAGCCGGGATTGCTTTTTAAAAAACACTTGAAATTCTTGGTCATCTATTAACCTTCTTGAGGCAGTTACTCACACAAAAAGAATCTTTAAAACTTAACAGAGTTATGAATCACGGTGAAATACCGCAGCAGTCCTAAAATGCAAAACCACGTGTACAAATACAGCAGTGTGTTTCTGGGCAAGGGAAAGAGACCTCTGCACCAACGCCTCACATGCCCCATTTCTTGTCTGAAGTTTCTTCTTCCATCCTTCTATTTTGGAGATACCAGCGGGAAGTTGGGAGGGCTCTGGCTGTCCAGTCCTCCTTCCCCGGGACTTCAAAGGTTTAACTCCTCCTGTCCCATACTAAATGTAAATACTGTCTTTGAACCTTTTGCAAACCAGCTCTATCCTAGGCTTTTATGTTTTGAGGACCTGATGTGGCAGAGATTGTAAGCTGACCATCTCAAAACTCAATGTCCATTCTCCCCAGTAACTGAATCCTGAATTTATTTGAGAAAGTCATGCACTCACAGAAAGAGAAGTTTTCCTAGCCTTTCTTGCGGCTAGATGTGACTGAGCCACCAGAAGCTGACCAATGAGGTATAAGTGAAAGGAATGAATTACACTTCCAGGAGGTCCTTAAGAGAGAGGGAGTGAGATCTTCTCACTCTTTATTCTTTTTTCTGCATGGAAACCAAATGTAATGACTGGAGTGCCAGCAGCCATTTTGGACCACAGAGTGATCTTTAGAAGGAAGCCAAGACGATAGAAGGGGCATGGGTTACTGATACCATGGAACACTCCTGTGCTCATACTGCTACCTCCAGACTTCTTTTACATAAAAGGTAAATAAATCTCTATTTTTATAAGCCATTTATCACATGCAGCTGGACCTAATCCCAACAGATATACTTGGGAAATTGCGGAAGGAATCACTCTGAAATATTAAGCATTGGTGTACCAAACACAATAGCAAACACAATGCAGTTAACAATGCCAACAGTTCATCTTTTAAGAGCTCTGAGTGACCTTGTACGTAGAGATGGCTTGCCACCAAACGAGCCCAGGGTAATGATTTTTAAGGGTGTCATCTTTAAATATGCTGGATGGCTCAGATATCATGTTTTATGTTGGATACCTACCAAAATGCATTGATGACATTATAACTACTTCACAGTATTCGAGTTTTCAGTTGTGAGGATGTAAAAAAATTTTTAAAGGATTTGTTCTTAACTAATAAGACATCATGTTATTGAGTGCCTACTGTGTACTAGGTACTATGCTAAACATTTGTGTAATCTCATTTAATCTTTACAAGTATATACTATTATTTTATTCTCACTTAACACATGGGCAAGTAGAAGGGATAAATTACTTGCCAAAGGTCGCATGGCAAAACTGGAGATCAAACCTAGGCCCGTCAGATTTCAGAGCCTGTGTTATGAAACACTATACTAAAGCATCTTCCATATTTATATTTTTCTAGATACATTCATGCGTTGCATAACGATGTTTCAGTGAATAACAGACCGCATTTACAACAGTGGTCTCATAAGATTAGGACCATACAGCCTAAGGTGTGTAGGAGGCTATACCATCTAGGTTTGTGTAAGTACAATATGATGTTTGCATGACAATGAAATTGCCTAATGACACATTTCTCAGAACAATCCCCATCGTTAACTGATGTATGACTGTGGCCTGCCCATCCTCTAAATTCTCCAAGAGCCACGTCAGAGCGGCTGTGCTTGGTTTACAAATTAGAAGGTCTGAAACCCAGAACGGGCCATTCATCCTAAGGTAAGACTGGCCCTTGCAGAAATGGTGTCAAGAGTATGAACTCCAGGGACAGAGTCAAAGTCATTCTCGGCAAATTGACTTGGCCTCCTCCTCAACTGTCATTTAAGAGTGTAGCTCTTTACATTGAAAGAAACATCAAGGGTCACTGACACTCAGTCTAGGAAAATCAGAACCACCTTTGAGTTAAGACAGACAGACAGCCATATATACTGTTATATTTTAATCAGAATCAGACATTAAATGGCAAAAAACACTCCATAGATCTCTTGGCTGTTCCAAATCTCATCCACTTAAGACCCAAATATGACACAAGCAGTTTTAAGAATGATTTTGACTGGTCTCCCCAATCTCAAAGGAGATTAAAAAGTAATAACATAAAAAAAGTTAAGGTCAAGGTGTCTTAATGTCACAGCTAATGACTAACCATTTGTTTACTGGTGGCTTCTGCTCCACCCTGAAAGCTGCTGACCTGAACCCTGGGTCAAACAAGTGGTTAGTTATTAGTTCCCTGGGTGATTGTCCCTGAAGGTAAGCCATGCTCTGAGGAGGACACATTAGGCACTTTAAATGGGTGTATAGTTACCTTTTCCAGGCTGGGCACAACGTTTGGCTCTCAAAAGCAAAATAAAGAATTTACAGTCAAACAGAATGTTCCGTGAGTCTGCGCCTTTGCGATTATGCCCTGGGATTTCAGCGCCTGCTCCAGATGGCGCAGACGTGCTGGGGGAGCTCTGCGAGTTGGCGAGCAGGCTGTTTAATTTCTGCACGTGCTGTGGACACCGGCATAATGGCCCCCTCTGACTTTTAATCTGGTGTCCTGAGAGACAGCCCGGTGCACAGAGCTGCTCTCCATATGAACAAGTGGCGCAGGCGCTCCCACGCATCCGGACAGAGGCTGCATGTAAACAACCGTCAGGCTGCACCAGGGCAGGCTGCAGAGTATCAGTGCTGCGTCTAAGGAGCAATGTACCCCACGTGCCCACAGGACACTAGCTTATTTGCCTGTACAGATCCCCTCCCCTAATCTGCCTCATCCACATCTTCTCCTGCAGTCGCCGCTTCTAAAGCCGCCAGGGCTTCCGCCACTGCCGCGTCCTCGTCTGCCATCTCCCCACTCCCGTCTCCAGTGGAGCCAAGGTCGTCCTCCCACCTGTTTCTCGAATCGACCACAGGCACGGGCTGAGCAGGATCCTCTTCTTTAAAGTAGACACTTAAAACTTCCGTTGCCACGGCCTCATTTAAGGAATCCCAGCTTCTCTTCCTGGAGAAGGGCATGTTCGAACCGTGCTCCCCCACGCTGGGGTGGGTTTCCTCCTGGGGCTCCTCCTCAGTATGGCTCTGGAAAAGATAATCTTTCTCTTCATGATCAACGTTGTCTACAGCTGAGCCCCAAAGTTGAGGGTAATCTGGGGCTGGTATCTGGAGGACGTGGTCTTGTACTTCCAAGGCAGGGTGTTCTGCTTTGGAAGGAGCTCTGGAGTCTCCATTTTGGATGACTCTGGTCTCCTCTGAGCCCGGCAGCACACAGTTCTGTTCCCCCGCGCCCCCTTCTTCAAGGAAGGGTTGAGCTGGGTGAATGCTGTTTGAGGTACTGGCCCAGGAGCCCCAGTTACCCTGGTGGGGCCCAGGATCCCCAGTGGGTGGCAAAGCAGCAACAGGGCCAATGCCATTGATGGCACCATCAGTCTTCTCTGCACAGTGTCCCCCTCCGGTGTCCTCCTGAGGGAGCAGTCCTTGGTGAGGCCAAGGCTCCTGTGGACCAGCTGTTCTGTTTCTGCTTGCCGTCCTCTTCAAGCCCTCACCCTGAAGGTCGTTTGTATGCACCAGGACTTCGCTGCTCTGCTTGCCTTTTAATTTAACAGTGTCATCTTCATCCAACTTGCAGCTGTTCACTTCGTTGACATAGCCAGGGGAGGGCACTTGAACTGGATCAAAGAGATAGCTGGGGGTGAGAATAATGAAGATCAGTTAGGTTAATTCTTAATTAACTTTATTTATTAATAACTAACTTTCATTATTAATACTACTACAGGCTCTGCTTCTTTCTACTATTTCTGTTAACTTAATTTCTGTGATCAGTTACTCTTTTAAGCCTATATGTTTGTCTAAATCAAATAGACATAGTTGGTATAAAAATGTTCTACCACTGGAAATAGATCTTAAGAAAAGATCCAAAGAGGACAGGAAGACGGTAAAGTACAAAGTGGGTCATGGAATTTAAAAACAAAAAATATGACCAATAACAGGAAAACAAGTGGTTAGGTATGGATGGTACATCCCCTCAATGGAATATTACACAGCCATTCAAACAATAAATATGGGGGCCAGCCCGGTGGTGCAGTGGTTAAGTTCCACATTCTGCTTTGGTGGCCTGGAGTTCGCCAGTTGGGATCCCAGGTGTGGACCTACGCACCGCTTATCAAGCCATGCTGTGGCAGGCATCCCACATATAAAGTAGAAAAAGATGGACATGGATGTTAGTTCAGGGCCAATCTTCCTCAGCAAAAAGAGGAATCTTCCTCAAAAAAAAAAACAAAACAAGGATATGAAGTCTGGACTGGCATGAAAGATACTTATAACAAATATTTACTACAATAAATGTTTTTTGAATAAAGCCTAACAGCACATTATGATTACAATAGAGTAACATTTATATGTGTGTGTGTGTATGTGTATGGACAACAGATATAGGTACACAGATATGGAATAGAAGTAGAATAATAAAGTTTTATTTGTTAAGGAAGCAAAATCATTGGTTAACTTTTTCCCTTTATTTTATACAGAATTCTATTCGTGTTAACCAAATTTTTACGAAATAGAATCTGGAGGAAATTAAAAACACATATGTGCCTGGGCGATTTATTTTCAGTGACACCATTTCAGGCATCCTCTGAAACCCAAGCTTTTCTTTGTGTTAAAGCTCTCTAGAGAAATGTAAATTCAACCCAAACCAAAGTCAGTCTCAGAGCACACTGGTGCTCCCAGCACACTTTGAGCAGTGAGCCAAAAGTTAAAAAACCTCGGCCACATGTCCTTTTAAATGATATCAAAGCAGTTCCAAAGGCTCAACTTCCTGGCAGTGCTGGCCGTGCCCCATGCAGGATGCATGCACTGAATCCACCTAGGGTCTTTAAAGTGATTCCCACGGATTCCGGAGGAGGTGTTTTTCCAACTTTACCTTTGTATCATTTTACAGCACCTGCACCCCATCTGGATTACTTTTTGTTACCATCTGGAAAAGAGAGTGTAAAAAGGAGAGAACACAGTGAATCACATTTTAATAGGAATTAGTTTGCTTTTTCTTTCCTAGACACTCAAAGTCAGTAGAGTCACAATTTTTGGCAAAATGGCAACACGTGGGTCAGGGAGGGCATTGGTTACTGGGAACACCTTCATGTATCTAAAACCATGGATTCAGAGTTCTCGAACATTCACTGACACTTGTCTCTGTGCCAGACCCTTTCCCCAACCCTGGGAATTATGTATGTCATCCCCATTTTGCAAATGAGGTAATAGAGGCCAAAGGTGGGACTGAAAAGGATCTGTGTGTTTTCTGTTCCATTGCTTTCAACTGGGCACCCGGGAACACAACCAGGGTGCAGCCCACTGGGCAGCAGCAGGAGGTGGAAGAGAGCGGAGAGGAGTCCTGGCCAGGAGATTAGCGGCTCAAGTATGAAAGGACATCAGGATAAGGCAGCTGGTCGATGTGCTCCATGATACAGACCTGGGGAGGTTACAGCCAGAGTCATCATCACAAGCTCAGCCTGGACCAAACTGCTCCTGTTTTGCCTTTCCCATCACTGGGCTGATCTAGGCTTTGACCCATGGAGCTGACTCTCTTGCAGCTCAAGGACATGTTCCTTTGGGCTTCCAGCTGGCAGATGAACTCAGCTCTGTTCTTCTCTCATTTCCCACCCAGCCACTGTCTCTCATCCTTCCCCAAGTTGCATTTTTTTTCTGATAATCTCCCTCTGAATAAAATCTTCTCTTCATGTCAAACTGACTACGTTGTTCTGGTTTTTCCTCTGAAAACCCTAAAAATTAGGAATCTTTAAGTAGTTCTCCATTTCTAATGTCAACAACTTTTGAAAAGACAAGCTAATAACAGAACCTAAAGCTCCAGACCCTTTGTCTCCATCAGACACATGCACTAGGAAGAGAGAGACATCCATTACTGGCCACCTCCCCTGTTTGCTCTCCTTCCTTCCTTCAATCATGGATGAATTCCCAGGATCCTTCTTCATAAGCCTTTACCCAGAGAGAACGCAGCTGTGATTTTTAGAAGTATAGATTGGCTGGCTGCTTACAGGGGACTGGGTTTACTTGACACATAAAATCCACAGATGACTCCCTGTAGAGGGTTGAAAAACGGTCCCCCAAAAGACATCCACATCTTAATCTCTGGAACCTGTGAATTCTACCTCATATGGCAAAAAAAAGAGAAGTCTCTTCAGATGTGATTACAGATCTGGGGAGATCTGCCTGGATTATCGGGTTCGGAGCCCAGCTCTGCCTCTTACTGGCTGTGTGACTTTGGACCTCAGCTATACCATCTGTGAATGGGGATGATATATCTACCAGATGGTGGCGTTGGGTATTAGGTGCGTTAATATTCCTGATAAACATCCACTTATTACTCAGCCCTGTTTGAATACAGCATGTTACAAAAAAAACTTTAAAAAGATGGAGACTTGCACCTTAGAAAGAAGTAATCTACATACGCACGCAAACAAAAGCATTAACAATACCAAGTACTACTTGTTTCTGGAATAAGGGCCAAATGGCATATTTCTGTCAATTGTGGCACCAAGTGAAAGACACAAACCCCAAGTGCAACAACAGTTCCACAGAGAGAGAAATCACTGGGGCTTAGCCAGCAATACGTGTGCACAACCTTGTCTTTCTCCAAAGCATTCTCAATTAAAAGAGCCCATTTCCAAAGCCCATTTTATGTCTATTTTCTGGGAACAATTCATAATTCAACTGAATGAATGGGACAGACAAAGAGAAGCGTGCGCACCTCCTCCACTCAATCAACCGCCCCCTGCCCCCGGCTCCCTGCTGCCCTGCCCCCACCCTCCCTGCCCCCCCACCAGCCTGCTCTAAAATCCTACCCCTTGCAACACGTGCAGTGCTTCTGTTTATCTTGGACTCTGTTTAAAAAAACAATCAGCCAGGAGGAGAGGTGGCAAAAAAAAAAAAAGAAAGAAAGAAAAGTCGAAGAAAAGGGAAAAAGGGCTTTGAAGTGTTTGAGAGGGCAGACTGTGGGTCATAATAACATAATTGAAGCAATCGTGAAATATCACTCATTGAAAAATATCAGATCAACTTTAGGATGGTGAATTCAAGAGCCATAGGTGGGGAAGGTTTTCTTCTGAAAAAAAGAAAGAAACAGGCACATCTTGAGGGGCACCTTGTTCCCAGAGTCTCAGAGGCTGCCCAAGGTGGACCTTGGGGAACCCTCGCCAGGCTGGAGCTGGACAGCCTGTGCCCACCCTCTGCTGCTGTGGCTGTGGCCACGCGAGCGACGTGCACGGAAACGAGACGACTGCTGAGATGTAAGAGCCCAACTTGAGAACTACCACTTCCTTGTTTCTTCCAGAATTTACACATCATCTGTGGCTTTTAGGCTCCCCTCCTCCTCACCTCCAGGAAAACCACAGGATCTATATTTTTCTTCAAAGCCATGTAACTATAAAGGATGTTTTGATGGTTCTCCCCTTTAAGGATCAATTTCGCTTCTCCCCTCACTGCCTCCCTCAGGGCACACCACATGGGTTCCTACAGACCTGGTCCTGTACCTGAGGGCCACGCTCTGCGCCAGCCTCGGCTCAGCGCCTTGGAGACAGCCTCTTCCTGGTTAGAAGTTCTGCCCTCTCACCTCGCTCTCCTTCCCCAGCGACATTCCTTCTCTCAATGAGACAGACTCTAACGTCTGAAGCTGTGTGACTGCTGACGAACAGGGTGGGGACTAACGTATTTACACGCAACCTCTGCCTTCCCGTACCAATTATTCTTCCTTATATGATGATTCCTGATATCAAATTCAGTTTATTTCTCTTTTTATATGTCACTCCCACATCCGCATCTTGTTTTTAGTGAGAAGTTCTCCCATTTCCAGGTGCAAAAAGGAAATACTTCTTGTCCAATGTGATACATGGAAATGGGGGTAAAAATAAATGCTCTTTTGAAGTAAGGTTGAGTTCAAAATGGGCAGTCTGTCCACTTTCTCTCCCCCTCCCACTTTGACAACAGCTTAAAGGTGAGAATTCAGTTGTCAGGTGCCCTTTATTACGAGCAGAATCAAAAATTTGCTTTCTCTTTGGAGTACAAAAAAGAAATAGAGAAGCAAAGGGCAAATCTTTCGCACCCATCATCTGGTTTACACAGGGGAAAAGCAAATACCATTAGGATGGTGTGTCCACCACCGCTGGCGCCTGTCCGCTCCTGGAGTCCTGTGTTGGGGGTTGACTCTGTGCAGTGTTTTGTGTTGAAATTAAACAGTTCTGTGTTTGAAGATGGACATGCTAACGCCCTGTCAGTTGCTAGTCAAGTCTCCTTGCTGGAAAATCCTGTTTCACAAGGGTGGTAGTGATGGAGGTGGGGGAAGTGGGGAGACCAGGGAGAGCCAGGAGTGTTCTATCCAGGCAGAGAAACTACTGAGTGTTCATCAGGAAGACAAGGGAATACAGAAAAGCCTGCACCCAGCTGGAAAGGGCTGCCTTTTGATAGTGATGGTCCTAAAGAATGACAAGTACAGGTCAAAAGGACACAGGAACCAGATCATAGGGGTTCGACCGGCCAAATCTGGAGCGACTGGAGCAGCAAGATAAATAGTACTGATATAAAGGATTGTAATCCACTGAATAAAACAAGCTATGAATCCACACTGATATACAGGCAGGTGCTGCATAAGAACATTTTGGTCAATGACAGACTGCATTGTGCTAGGATGGTGGTCTCGTAAAATTAATACCATATCGCCTAGGTGTGTAGCAGGCTGCACCATTGAGGCTTGTGTAAGTACACTCCATGATGTTTGCACAACCATGAAATCGCCTAATGACACATTTCTCAGAACATATCCCCGTCGTTAAGTGACACATAACTATAAATTTAAAAAACGGAAGGCCCTGCCTTAGAGACAGAAAGCCAGCAAACAAACACACAAGGAATACTGGAACTAGAAAAATCACCATGTGACAACCATCCTAACAATAACTGATTCAAGCAAGAATCATGCCGGGACTAAGGGGTGAAAGTTTGAGAAGAATGGGATACTTAGTCTCAAAGTATCTGCCCACCACATACTTAAGGGTAAAATAGTATCTTTACAGCGGAGACACCTGGCACAAAGCACCTTAAATAGTCAAAGGTAACATTGCCAGTCATGAGACTAACCAGCAGCATGTGCCTCTGATGTGATGCACTGAGAACTCAGCATCACTTCTGTGGTTTTCCTGCCTAAAGAGCATAACCCGGACTGAAGCAGGAGGCAACATCGGTCAAACCCAAAATGAGGGCTATTCTGTAAAACAACTGGTCTTTACTCAAAAAAATGTACTACTATGAAAAACAAAGAGCGAGGAACTATTCTAGATTAAAGGAGATTAAAGAGGCATGACAACTGAATGCAATGCATGATCTTTCTGCTAAAAATCATTACTGACACAAATAGTAAAATCTGAATAAGGTCCGTAGACTAGGTAGTAGTCCCAAATCACTGTTAATTTCCTGGTTTTGATCACTGTACTGTGGTTATATGAGAAAATGCCCTTGTTCTTAGGAAATACACAGTGAAGTACTTAAGAGTAAGGGGCACGGTATCTGTAACTTACAATTCAGAAAAAAATTGTGCGTGTGTGTGTGTGTGTGTGTGTGTGCATATCTAGAGAAAGAGAAGAATAAAGCAAATGTGATAAATGTTAACATTTGGGGACCATAAGCAGAGGACATATGGGACTTTTTTGTACTCTTCTTGCAACTTTTCAGGAAGTCTGATATAATGTCAAAATTAAAAATTAAAAGAAAAAAGTGGGAAATTTTTTAAAAAGCCCTAATCTAATGTCAGTTCTTGTTCTGCCTGTCCCTGGGCTAGGACTTCAGACCCATAGGAAATCCCTGATTCTAAGCTCTTCCTATACAGAAGCATGTGCGGAAGAGTCTTGCAGGAAGGAGCGCCTCAGAAGCCCACCAACCTTTCTGAATTTAGCTGTCATGCTGAGTATGTCC